AAAACAAAGCTGCTTGATATTTTTGTGGAGACTGATATTTTTTTTTTTCAAGGATTTTTTTGATGAACAGAAAGTTCAAAAGAACTGTGTTTATATGAAATCTCTTTTTTTGTAACATTAGACCTATAAAAGTCTTTATTGTCAAAGTCTTAAACTATAAAGTATAAAAGTTTTTTGATAAATTTGATGCACCTCGCCAAATAAATGTAACTTTTAAAAAATAAAATCTTTATATAATTTCTATAAAATATATAAACTTTAGACTAAACAAAAATCTATGAACTGTATATAATAATAATAAAATCTTATTAACTCATAATATTTTGTTTTGTCTAAAGTTTATTGTATCATTGCATACAATATTTGCCTTTTTTTTTTTTTATTCATCATTGCAGTATTTGACATCATGCACAAAGAATCAAACCATACAATCAGATCTTTTTTTTTTTCTTTCTGAAGCTACCTTAGGTGTGTTTATTTCCGATTCAGTTTCTGATGTGTGTTTTGCAACAGGTGTTCGAGTGTCCGGCTTTATCAGCGCTGAAGATAAAAAACCTCTTCAGAGGAGTATAATGGGATTCCTGCAGAAAGGTGGATCTGATTCAAGCAGTTTCACGCAGTGTGCTGGATCTGTGCTCAAAGCAGAAGAAGACAGTGATGGTGCCAGTTTCCTAAAGCCACAGGCCACTGAGATGAAAGTACCTTCTGTGTCTGAGCAAAAACCCGAATCTAAAGGACCGCAGCAGCAATCATTTTTTCAAAGAGCACAGTTGAAAAGACTACAGCAGCAGCAGGTACAAATTTCTGTTATGGCTGGTACAGACACAACAAACAATAGTGCTGACGCAGCTGCTGATACACAGACAGATCTACCAACAACAAACAATCTGTCAGACACAACATCAGCAAAAAGTTTGTCAAATACAAACTCAGGGACAGACACAACAAGCTACGTAAACAAACCTGCAGTTTTAAAGCCATCATTTAAAATCTCAACCCAGGTGCTGCCGTTTCTCACCTGTCCTGTGTGCAACACAGAGATGAAGAATGTAAACCTTACAGCCTTCAACAACCATATTGATGAATGTCTGAAGGGCAGTGCGGTGGATAATGAACCCACACATTTGGATGCGCCTAAGGAACAGGAAGAGCTCAACAGTAAACCACCTGCATCAAGTTCAGAAAGCAGGACTTTAAAATCCTCAAGCCACGACCCAGCCTGTAATGAAGAGAAGCCGTCCACTAGCATCTCTGTGCCACTGGTGGAAACTGATGAAGACGGTGATTTCAAGACTCCATTTTTTAGTCACAGGACAAAAATAAATGGAAAGCGTTCTGTTCTTTCTAAAAAGAAGATGCCTGTTTGTGAATCTAGTTCTAACGCATCACCCAAAACACACAATCTTGAGGCCGTCACAGAGATGTCATCTGACTCGAACGGCTCGTCTTTGACGTGTCCTGTGTGCAGTCAGCCGCAAAGCACTGATGACCTCGCGCTCTTCAACCGGCATGTGGATATGTGTCTTAGCCAGGATGTTCTGCTGGAGTTTAGAGAATCTCATCCTCCTGTGGGTCATTCAGATGAACCAGCACTCAAGAGCGTACGAGGTCAGTGCAAAAAAAAAATAAAATAATCAACACTTTAGTATAGGGACCAATTCTCACTATTAACTAGTTGCTTATTAGTATGCCTATTATTAACATATTGGCTGTTTATTAGTACTTATATCTGCATGACCATATTCTACATCACTAGTCCTACCCAGTACATAAACGTAACAACTACCTTACTAACTAATAAGCTGCAAATTAGGGGTTTATTGAGGAAAAAGTCATAGTTAATGGTTTGTTATTAGTGAGAATTGGACCTTAAAATAAAGTGTGACCAAAAATGAAGAATTCAAGGAATCGCATTTGGTAACAATAACCATACCATGACAAGTAAGGAAAGGAAATGATTATAATACTTTTGTTGTTTTGTTTTTTATAGGCCAACTGGGGGACCAGGGAAGAGTTTCTAAAGTGAGAGAAAAAAGCAAAAGGTATTTAACTGTAAAAGGCAATAGTACAATATTGTAAGAATGCAATTTGAATGTACACAAATGTTTAAAAAGTTTGGGGTCAGTAAGATTTTTTTAAAATATTAATACTTTTATTTGAGCAAGGATGCAATAAATTGATCAAAAGTGACAGTGAAGACATTTATAGTGTTACAGAATATTTCTGTCTTTTTGTTAACTTTCTATTCATCAAAGAATCTTGAAAACATGTATCACAGGTTACACAAAATATCAAGCAGCACAACTGTTTTTAACATTGATAATAAGAAATGTTTCTTGAGCAGTAAATTGGCACTAAGTGACTTTATTCATGAACATTAAACAAATCTTACCAGCCTTAAACTCTAACACTAATGTGTATTATTTTTGTGTCTCATGATATTTATTTATGTATTCTCCATTGTAACTACAGGCAGGGCTCATCTACTCTTCCTCCCTCGAAAAAACCCAAAGTGTTGAGCACAAAACACACGATCGACAAGTTCTTCAAAGGCAATGCCGGACAGAAAGTCTAATTCTTTTACAAATCCAGAGAGATTTAATTTATGAAGGAGAGACTTTATAATCCATGAGGATTTTGCTGGATTCACTTGAGGGAATATTTTGATGGAACAAGTAAGAAGATTCTTGTATGGTGAAGAAAATCAGGTGTTTAATAGGATGACTTTTGATAAGAGATGTTTCAGATGATATACTCTGATAGAAAGCTGAAAAACTGTTTGGGTATATTTTTTGTATTTATTGAAATGTGTATTTGTGTGGTGGAAAAATGCTTCATACTGTGCTTCAAATTGATACTTTTGGACTTGCCTCTTTCAGTATTTATGTAGATCATTGATGTTACATGTACATTTATATATGAGTGAAATAATTTTATTCTATGCATAAATAGAAATGAGCATTTAATTTTGTATGGATATTGTAAAGCACTTTATAAACCATGACATAAGGCTTACCATCTAAATAATAAATATTTTCAAGTTTCATAATTGATACATTTTTACAATTCTGCATGTACAGTATATAGGCTATCTAATTTGCACCAAAAATAAATGAACAAAAACATTGTTCTCTTAATCTCATTTAATGTTGCTTTGTGTCGGTATAGAAATATAGCAGGTTGTTTTTCTTTGTTTGGAAACTATTTAAACAGCTTTACGCTTGCATGTACATTTATATATGAGTGAAATAATTTTATTCTATGCATAAATAGAAATGAGCATTTAATTTTGTATGGATATTGTAAAGCACTTTATAAACCATGACATAAGGCTTACCATCTAAATAATAAATATTTTCAAGTTTCATAATTGATACATTTTTACAATTCTGCATGTACAGTATATAGGCTATCTAATTTGCACCAAAAATAAATGAACAAAAACATTGTTCTCAATCTCATTTAATGTTGCTTTGTGTCGGTATGGAAATATAGCAGGTTGTTTTTCTTTGTTTGGAAACTATTTAAACAGCTTTACGCTTGTTTATTCATCAATTCTCTTTCCATGATAAATGCTAGGATGTTATTTATATCATTGTAAAGTACACTTCCATTCAAATGTTCAGTAAGAATTATTAAATGCTTTTGACAGAAGTCTCTTATGTTCACCAAGACTGCATTTATTTGATTAAAAATAAAGTTACAAAAGCAATATTGTGAAACATTTTTTCTTCAGTATCACATGATCTTTCAGAAATCATTCTGATATGCTAATTTAGTGCTCAATAATTATTTATTATGATCAATTTTAAAACAGTTGTGCTGCGAGATGCATTTTTTCCCCCATGATTCTTTGATGAACAGAAACTTAAACAGCAGCATTTATTTGAAATAAAACTCATCTGTAGATGTAAATGTCACTTCGATAAATTGAATTTGTCCTTACTAAATAAATGTATTCATATTGGGGAGGAAAAATCATATTGACCCAAACTTTTGAATGGAGAGTGTATATATGCATAATAACCTTAAACCTCATTCCCTATATCTGCACAGAACACAATCAGCCATTTAACTGTATGTACTCTGGGTGAGAGCGCATGTCTTTGGGGCGTGAGCTCTGAGTGCAAACAAAACCATCCACCTGATATATTTTACAGAATACAAGTCTCCAACTCTAAGAGCTGTGCAACCAGTACAGTGCTATGGAGAGGAAAGCTCAAGCCATAAAAGACTGCATACTGAAGCAGCCTGTTTGGAAAAAGGAGAATCTTCATCCCAAAACATGGTTAAAATCAGACCATGTCAAAGGTTTTACTGAATTCATACTGCCAAAGGACATTGCAGAAGATGGTGGTTATGACTGTAAGGAAATGTGTGAGTATAGATTAATCTCATTTAATGTTGCTTTGTGTCGGTATGGAAATATAGCAGGTTGTTTTTCTTTGTTTGGAAACTATTTAAACAGCTTTACGCTTGTTTATTCATCAATTCTCTTTCCATGATAAATGCTAGGATGTTATTTATATCATTGTAAAGTACACTTCCATTCAAATGTTCAGTAAGAATTATTAAATGCTTTTGACAGAAGTCTCTTATGTTCACCAAGACTGCATTTATTTGATTAAAAATAAAGTTACAAAAGCAATATTGTGAAACATTTTTTCTTCAGTATCACATGATCTTTCAGAAATCATTCTGATATGCTAATTTGGTGCTCAAGAATGATTTATTATGATCAATGTTAAAACAGTTGTGCTGCGAGACATTTTTTTCCCCATGATTCTTTGATGAACAGAAACTTAAACAGCAGCATTTATTTGAAATAAAAATCATCTGTAGATGTAAATGTCACTTCGATAAATTGAATTTGTCCTTACTAAATAAATGTATTCATATTGGGGAGGAAAAATCATATTGACCCAAACTTTTGAATGGAGAGTGTATATATGCATAATAACCTTAAACCTCATTCCCTATATCTGCACAGAACACAATCAGCCATTTAACTGTATGTACTCTGGGTGAGAGCGCATGTCTTTGGGGCGTGAGCTCTGAGTGCAAACAAAACCATCCACCTGATATATTTTACAGAATACAAGTCTCCAACTCTAAGAGCTGTGCAACCAGTACAGTGCTATGGAGAGGAAAGCTCAAGCCATAAAAGACTGCATACTGAAGCAGCCTGTTTGGAAAAAGGAGAATCTTCATCCCAAAACATGGTTAAAATCAGACCATGTCAAAGGTTTTACTGAATTCATACTGCCAAAGGACATTGCAGAAGATGGTGGTTATGACTGTAAGGAAATGTGTGAGTATAGATTTTCCTTCTTGATTGTGCTAATGATATTTCATATATTTTATGGTTATGATGATTCCTCAGTACTGTTCATGTGTTAATAATTGTCAAGCAAATGGAAGAAACAAGTTGTATTTACTCTAAAATAGCCTCTGTATTTTGAATTATGAGTTCATATTCATAAGACTGGAAAGATTGATGCCCGTCTACCATTCATTTTCCAACCTATATTTAGAGGAATATTCAGTGTTCAGTACAAGTTAAACACAATCAATAGCATGTGTACCACGGTTTACCACGGTCCATGGAAATAAATAAATAAAATCCAAATTACCCTGAGGTGCTTACAATGGAAGTGAATGAGGCCAATCTGTAAATGATAAATTAATATCAATAAGACAAGAAGACATAAGACATAAGCATAATTGAACAATACATAAAAAGTATGTTAACATGATCTTAGTGTAAAAAAACCCCCACCAAACTTTTCTTTCAAAGTTACTACTAATACTTACAAAGATTGAAATAGTATTTTATACCATTTTAACAGAAGAATTTATAAGTGATTTTATACAATTACGAATGTCACATTTCTGCTTGTAAATACTCCAGAAATCGATCACGCTCACTTCCTTTTTTAAGTAGCATACCTCACCTCAGCAACCTTAGTTTTTTCTTTTTAATGGGAAAAAAGGGATGAGTCATTGTTTTGTTTTGTTTTTTCTTCAATATTAAACCTATTTTATAACTGTACCGAACTTGGAATATTTCTGAATATTGAAATCAGATTAGAATTCCAGCACACAAATGTTATTTCAGCGGTAACTGAAGTGTGTACTATTGGCCTGTCTGACTCAGCATTCATTTATCACACTTGACATCATGTCTTCCAGTGGTCCTTAAAGTGAACACCCAAAACACAAACTGTACTCAGTGATATTTACACATCTCTGTGTACATCAAACAGAATAGTAGTTACTTTAATATTTTCCTGTAGTCACTCATAATTAAAAACTGCTCTAGAAAAAAAATACCATGGTTTTGAAACATAGTACCATGGTAAACCCATAGTGAGTACTATGTAAATACCATGTCGAACCAATATAAACATGATAATCATGCCATCTAATACATCGCTGTTTCATACCTTTTATGTAAAGTAGCCTACTAGTATTCAACTGATCATTCAACCTACAGTGTTGGAGGTTGAGAAAGACTTCATAGAAGCAGCAAAGAGAAACGACGTGGAGGGCATGAAGCTTCTCGGGAGAGGCGTTAATGTCAACTCCAAGAATGTGGTATGTCAATAAACTGCTCTTAGCTCACTTACACACATGTGTGATGGGTGTTTAAGAGCAGAATTTGCACAGTAGCAAATACAGACGTGTTTGTTCACCGTCTCTGAGCAGTTCTTATGAATCTTGTGTCTAATGTCAGCACGGTCGTACTGCTCTTCATTATGCTGTGGCCTTCAGAAATGTGGAAGCTGTTGATGTGCTCCTTCGAAGGAGAGCCAAACTAGATTTGCAAGATAAGGTATATGTTTGCCCAGTCATTAATGATTGACACTGTTTCCCTTAAGATCAGTATGACGCTCATACTGTGTTTCTGCAGCATGGACTGACTGCTGTTCACTTAGCAGCATGGTTTGGGAGTTTGGAGAGCCTCAAGTTACTTGTGCAAGCTGGAGCTGACCAAAGCATTGAAAATACGGTGAGCTGTTCGCTGACCATTTAATTGATTTATTTTCGGGTTTATTTGACAGGAACAATGCGCATCAATGATACATAAATGTACAATGTGCCAGAATTAGCCAGAAGGCTTATTTTGCATCTGCAGTCCCTGGACTGATGGTAAAATTGTCACCGTAAAAATATAAAATAAATAATTTATACATAATACATACATGCTTCAAAATGCATATAAAATTTACACTATACCTAATACATGTAGTTCTATCCCAATACAAAAAAAAATAAAAAATCAACATCCGCTTAAAAATTACGCTATACATAAAACCAACAAATCAACACCAGCTCACTCAAACACACAATCCAACTGTCAGACAATTTGACAAGCAATGTATCAATACAGTGATTCATAAAAAAAAAGTATATATATGGATTATTCTGCAGTTGCTGTGGCATTTCCATATAAATACATACCACATTAAATCTACTACTACTCTATAATTATTTTTTCTCTCAAATTATGAACTTTAAGTGTTTCAGAAAACTTGCAGAAAATATTTCGAACCATAATTTTACATATATATTTTTTCACATAAATAATTCACAATTGTGAATTTTTTTAATGAAAGACCAAAAGGATAAATAATGCATATGTATTTTCATAACATTCTTTGCTCATATTTACCAAGAGGGCTAATAATCCCAACTGTTTAAATAAAAGTTTTTGTTTTTTTTCAGATTTTCATGCAATAATTTATCATGTAGAAACTCATGAACACACATGACCTATAACCTTAAATTTATTTCAACTCTTATTTTTTTATATTACTGTAACACCACTAGCATTAAAATGAGTAACTATTGCTTTTATGTAAATTAAATTAACTGTTAATTTATTAAATAAATTCATATTCATTTCACTTTCATAAAGACTGCATTTTACAATTTATATATAGTATATGTATATATATATATATATATATATATATATATATAATGTAAAAAGGATTCTAATGTTGTGTATTATTCTAAGTGTTTTAAATTATATTTGTTTTCCATTTGAATTGTGTACACTGCAGACGCCCTCTATAAGTGAGTGACAACATCTGCCACTGCAATTGTGTAACACCTCATATGGCTTATTCATAATGCATTTAGGACATAAATGTAAATATTCTGTGTTCAGGAGGGTCTGAACATGATGCACTGCGCTGCCATGAACAATCACACTGATATTGTAGCTTACATTGTTGATGACTTGCAAATGGGAGAACTTGACAAAGAAGACCAAGTAAGGAAACAGCAGTTACAATAAAAGCAAGAACCAGAATAAAACGAAACACTCAAACATAAAGTTTGCATGTTGTTTTTCTGTCAGTATGGTAATAGACTTTTTGCCATGGCCGCGGCACACGGCTGTGTTCGCATGCTACAGATGCTGATGGAGGAGCCTTACAACATGGCCACCATGGAGGAAAATGAGGTTAATTTATTACATCCTTCAGTTTGTAGATGCTTTTTTAATTCACAGAAAAGTATGTGTTGTAGCTGTAATAATTTGCCTCTGCATCTGGCAGCCAAAAATGGTCAATGTGAAGCACTGCAGTTACTTCTAGACAACTTTAACATTCGCAATGAGGTCAACCAGGTAAAACTCTGTCCTATTTAATGTAACAGATCCTTCTCAACACAGAAAATGCACACACACATTGATGTGATGTATTTGCTGTGTGTAGGCAGGACAGACCGCTCTGTATCTGGCTGCAGATGGAGCTCATGAGGACTGTGTACAAGCCCTGCTGGAGGCACAGTGTGACCCAAACATCTTCACCTTAGTATGTACTGAGTATGTACAGAGGTGATGATTTTAAGCATCACTTTTGAGGGCAACGTTTTTTAACAAACATCTTCACCTTAGTATGTACTGAGTATGTACAGAGGTGATGATTTTAAACATCACTTTTGAGGGCAACGTTTTTACCATTATTGACAATGGTTTTTTTAACCATGAAGTATTAAACATATTCAGCATTGTTTCTTAGAGAATGGTTACCTGTGATGATTTTCAGAGCAGAAGCAGTCCTCTGCATCCAGTCTGTGAGAGGGGCCACTTTCCTATTGTCAAACTCCTCATCAATAGTGGAGCCCAAATGAATGCTCAGAACCAGGTAAGACATTTTCAACATTGTTTTTTTTCTTCTGCTGCCTGAAGTTTTTAATGCTACTGAATTGACACTAATGTCAATTTTAAGTTAAACTTAAGCATATAGTGTAACATTACATAAGAATGGCATTTTAAACATTGTCATTAAAGTGACTAGTTCAAGATGATTTTAAACATCACTTTTGAGGGCAACGTTTTTACCATTATTGACAATGGTTTTTTTAACCATGAAGTATTAAACATATTCAGCATTGTTTCTTAGAGAATGGTTACCTGTGATGATTTTCAGAGCAGAAGCAGTCCTCTGCATCCAGTCTGTGAGAGGGGCCACTTTCCTATTGTCAAACTCCTCATCAATAGTGGAGCCCAAATGAATGCTCAGAACCAGGTAAGACATTTTCAACATTGTTTTTTTTCTTCTGCTGCCTGAAGTTTTTAATGCTACTGAATTGACACTAATGTCAATTTTAAGTTAAACTTAAGCATATAGTGTAACATTACATAAGAATGGCATTTTAAACATTGTCATTAAAGTGACTAGTTCAAAAAAAAAAAGTAATCAACTGGTCAATATATTTTTAATACAAATTAATTAAGTTACATTATCGATAGCTATAATGAACACTACTGTTCAAAAGTTTGGGGCCAGCAAGTTATTTGTATTTTTGGTTATTTATTTATTCATTTATTTTAGTGCTGTCAAACGATTAATCGCGATTAATCGCATCCAAAATAAAAGGTTTTGTTTACATAATATATCTGTGTGTACTGTGTATATTTATTATTTATATATAAGTACACACACATGCATGTGCATACTTCAGAAAAATTTTATGTTTGTATATTAAATATATTTATATATAATATAAATTATATGAATATAAATATATACATGTAAATATTTTCAAAATATATACTGTATGTATATGTATTGATATATACATAAATATACACAGTACACACCACATATATTATGTAAACAAAAACTATCATTTTGAATGCGATTAATCATTTGACAGCACTAATTTATTTATTTATTCTTTAAAGATGAACACTGGTATTTAGTACGGATGCATACAATTATTCATGACAGTAAAGACATTTATAATGCTATGAAAGATTAGAATTTTAAATAAATGCAGTTCTTATTAACTTTTTTTAATCAAAGAATCGTGGAAAAAAATGTATCATGGTTTCCGCAAAACTATTAAACAGCACAAACTGTTTTCATCATTGATGATAACACGAAATGTTTCTTGAGCAGCAAATAACAGAATGATTTCTGAAGGAAACACAGATACATTATTCCTCAAAGCTAAAAGAATTAATAATTAATTAGTACCAAAAGTGAAAACTGACAATGTATAAAATACTTGACTGACATTTTCAAACATTGCAATTTCCCCCTTTGGCTTCTTATTGAATTCAATATGATGATCCAGTAA